TTTGAAGTTTTTTTTTTTTTTTTTTTTAATTCGAATTCTTTAATTGATTTAACCATTTTCATGAAAATTCGAAGGTAGACTTCTTTCTGTATCATGAGTTGTATGTGGTTCAACGATATAATATATTTCAATCTTTGCGCGATTTAATCTGATGAAATTAGTAATCTGCTGTTATAATAGATTTTAATTTAGATAATATAGAATAATGTAGTAATAAGTATTAATTCAGTAATTTAAGTCCGTACAATGAGATAGAGGTTAGGTTAGAAGTCACTTGGGAGTCGCATTATCTACTTATATATACACGGTGGCCTAAAAGTTTGCAATTACACTAAATACTGTGACAATCGGAAAATATGTGTTCCAAGGAATATGAACAATTTTACTTTGGAATTTCTTAACCTTTTGAGGACAACGTATATATACGCGCAGCACGTTTTGAATTTGGCGCCAAAGTAGTACTCTGTTGCTGTAATCTAATTTAAAAAAATAGTGAAAATATGCCAGAAGCCTGTTCAAAGGTGCAAATATGCAGAAGAAGCTCGCAGCTCAAAGGGTTAGGCAATCCCGTGCCACAAATAATCCACTCGAACGAAACAAAACTGTTATCAAAAAATATCGTTAGAGGAGATCCAGTATTAGTGATCTCGAATTTTTTGGCCACTTGACTACCCGATTAAGATTACTAATAGGATTAAGCTCTCAGTGGATGAGATCGAAGTTCACCAACCTCTGCGTTCTCTGTTCCCAGGGCACATTCTCGCTGATAGTGGAGGCTTATCACGACGCAGACAACACGACACACCACTCAGCCGGTAAGTAACCTTCTCCCTCTTCTCACTGGAACGCTCTCTTCCTATTAAGCCTTCCGAAGACTCTCTTCTTCGGTGTGTATCTGGTCTGTCGTTGTATTATAAAACCCTTCTGTACACGTGTCTGTGTATTATATACACGTACATGTGTGTATCATGAAGGCACGAGTACCGCCTAGCACGCGCTTCGGAAAAAAAGCTACAAGATGGGATGGAGGGGAGAGAAGAAAAAAAAAAAAGGGAGGAAGAAGAGGAGGATGATATTTTAAAATTAGTCCTCTTACTCTGTATGGCTCTAAATACGGGGAAGGTTTTAGATGGTTTGGGCATGTGCAGTCCAGCTGGGTTCGTCGTGGACGAAACCAGTCGAGAAGCCACTTCCGGTCTCTGTGCACGACACTCACCAGAGACGTAACCTCCTCCTTTTTTCTTCTTCTTTTATCAGGATTCTCTCTCTTCTTTCTTCTTGTAAGACATCGAAATATAGACTAAACCTCAGGACACAAGTCTCTTCCTGTGTGCCGCCTGTTTCCGCGGACAAATATTGTTACTTTTTTCTGATGTGACTGTGGTACCAGACTCTGGTTAACTGGTTCCCTTTTTTCTCTCTCTCTCTGTGTCTACGGTTGAAAGGATTGGACGGTTTGACAGATTGAAAGCAGTGTGCAATGGTGTGTAAGGGATGGTTTCCCTATCTCGAGTAGTGAAGTGTGTTCTAGGTTTGAAATTTTTGACGAATGGCAGATTCGTTCTGGTTACTTCCTTTCGAGATTGGAGGGTATTTTTTTTTATGGGTATTTTGGGATATTAAAAATTACGACCAGGTTGATCTTGGGTAGCATTAGGATGACGATGATAGTTATGGTTGCAGTGTACCATTTTATTATTACTGTTATAATGTAGAAAGCATAGATAGACTTAACCTTAATAGTACATTTAAAAAATCTTAATAGTAACGATACACGGTGTCAATAACGAACTTAAAACACCGCAAAGTGTTACATTTCATTCTCAACAAACATTCCTGTCCCATGAACAAAATCGAGCATGGAAACGCACAATTGTTCTTCTTCCTTCAATTGTCAGACTGTATTTGCAGCCTCTCTGATATTCACTCTTTCTTTTTTTTCTTTCTTCGCATAATCCACGATCTCACCGCAAATCGCGTCCGCCATGTTGGACCGATAGTAGAAGCCCCAGGCTGGTGGCCTCTGCCGCCTGTGGTGGCTGTTCTCGACCCGTTTTCAGTCATGTTCCTTGCTCATTACCGCGACGCGTCCACGTGCACAAAGTGGTTGGCGCACTCCGTTGTGTCACAGCCGTGTGCCGCGCACGGAGAAC